CCCACTGGGGATGTGCCCGCAACCCAGGTACATGCCCCTGACCGGAATCGAACCCGGGACCCTTCAGTCCGCAGGCCGACGCTCTATCCACTGAGCCAAACCGGTTTCAGCACTTTTCTCTTTCTAGTTGTAGAATTTCCACTCAGCCAGCCTTCCTGTGGTTCTGGATGGTGTCCGCTTTGTCTTTTAGTTGTATTTTTGAAGTGGTTGTGCGAGGCAGCAATTTTAGGTGTTTACACCTATGCCACCATCTTGGCTTCTCCTTGTTGCACTTATTGATGCATTCATTGGGTGATTACTTGTATGTGCCCTGACTGGGGATTGAACCCAAAACCTTGACCTATCAGGATGATGCTCTAACCACTGAGCAACCCAGCAAGAGGTAATTTCTAGATTTTTAGAGACAGTGAAAGCATATATCCACACCATGACTTATACACAAATGTTCATAGCAGCAGCATTCGTAGTAGCCAAAAACTCCAAACAACCCAGATGTCCCTCAATAGGTTGGTAAATAAACAAAATATGATACATCCTTTCAGCGGACTCCTACTTGGCAATCAGAGGAAATGAACATGCCACAGCATGACTGAACCTCCAACTGACTATGCCAAGTGAGGAAGTCAGATTAAAAAAGAGCCCTAGCCAGTTTGGCTCAGTAGATAGAGCGTCGGCCTGTGGACTGAAAGGTCCTGGGTTCAATTCTGGTCAAGGGCACATGCCTGGGTTGTGGGCTCGATCCTCAGTAGGGGGCGTGCAGGAGGAAGCCAGTCAATGAGTTTCTCTCATCATTGATGTTTCCATCTCTCTCTCCCTCTCCCTTCCTCTCTGAAATCAATAAAAATATATTTTTTTAAAAAGTGTAGCTGGCCGGTATGGCTCAGTGGTTGAGCATTGACCTATGAACCAGGAGGTTAAGGTTACATTCCGGTCAGGGCACATGCCAGGTTGCGGGCTTGATCCCCAGTGTGGGGCATGCAGGACTCAGCCGATCAATGATTCTCTGTCATCATTGATCTTTCTATCTCTCTTTCCCTCTCCTTTTCTCTCTGAAATCAATAAAAGTATATATATAAAAAGAAGATACTATAGCCCTAGCCGGTTTGGCTCGGTGAATAGAGCGTCGGCCTGCGGACTGAATGGCCCCAGGTTCGATTCCAGTCAAGGGCACATGCCTGGGTTGCGGGCTCCATCCACAGTAGAGGGCGTGCAGGAGGCAGCCGATCAGTGATTCTCTCTCATCGCTGATGTTTCTATCTCTCTCTCCCTCTTCCTCTCTGAAATCAATAAAATATATTAAAAAAAAAAAAAGTATAGAGCCCTGGCCTGTGTTTCTAAATGATTAGAGCATCAGCCCACACACCAAAGGGTTGAGGGATCGATTCTTAGTCAAGGGCATGTACCTGAGTTGCAGGTTTGACCCCCAGTCCAGTCAAGGTGTGTATAGAAGGCAACCAATTGATGTGTCTCTTACATCGATGTTTCTCTCTCTCTACCTCACCCCCCTTCCACACTCTCTAAAAATCAGTGGACAGCCGTAACCGGTTTGGCTCGATGGATGGAGTGTCGGCCTGCGGACTCAGGCGTCCCAGGGCATGTGCCTTGGTTGTGGGCACGTCCCCAGTGGGGGGTGTGCGGGAGGTGGCTGATTGATGTTTCTCTCTCATTGATGTTTCTAACTCTCTATCCCTCTTCCTTCCTCTCTGTGGAAAAATCAATAAAATATATATATTTTTTAAAAATCAGCGGACAAAATATCCTTGGGTGAGGATTAACAAAACAATAAAAGAGAGTAGACTGTAATTCCATATCTAGAAAATACAAATTCATCTATAGTGAGAGGAAGCAGGTCAGTGGTTGTCTGAGGACAGAGAATAGGGATTGGAGAGAAGAAACACAAGGAAATTTGGGGGGTGAAGTTCATGATCTTTTCTTTTAATCTTCACCTGAGGATATGTTTTGTTTTTGTTTTTTTTTATTTAAAAATATATTTTATTGATTTTTTACAGCGAGGAAGGGAGAGGGATAGAGAGTTAGAAACATCGATGAGAGAGAAGCATCGATCAGCTGCCTCCTGCACACCTCCTACGGGGGATGTGCCCGAAACCAAGGTACATGCCCTTGACCGGAATCGAACCTGGGACCCTTCAGTCCGCAGGCTGATGCTCTATCCACTGAGCCACACCAGTTAGGGCCTGAGGATATGTTTATTGATTTTAGAGACAGAGAGAGAGAAACATCAGTCTCACACAAGGTGACCGGGGATTGAACCAGCAACCTAGGTATGTGCCCCGAAGCGGGAATTAAACCCGCAATCTTTTGGTGTACGGGTTAACCAACTTAGCCACCCAGCCAGGACGAAGTCCATGATCATGATTGTGGTGATGGTTTCATGGGTGTATGTTTATGTTGAAACTTATCAAAACCCTGGCCAGGTGACTCAGTTGATTTAAGCATTGTCCCCTATACCAAAAAGGTTGTGGGTTCAATCCCTGGTTAGGGCACTTATGGGCAGTAACTGATCAATGTTTCTCTCTCTCTCCCTTCTTCTCTCTAAAAATCCATAAAAATATATCTTCAAAAAACAACAACAAACAAACAAAAAATATATATATATCTTCAGGTGTGGATTAAAAACAAAATCAAATTGTATCCTTAAAAATGTGTGCAGGTTAATGAATATCAATTATGAAAGGTTTTTTTTTTAATGTACAAACACACACACAGACAAACCCATGGGCCAAGTTCTGATCCCTCTACACACATTAGCTCATTTCATTTTTTTTTAATTTTTTTTTTCAATAACTAACAGCTGCTTGTTAGTCTTTGCCAGGCAGCTGTTATAGGGTGGGTGGGAGGACACCCGTGACCCTAACAAGGAAAACTCAAATTAAGCCTTTCTGTACAAGCAAATTTAGAGCTTTTTTAAGTGTCCAAAGCTATTAATTAGTTTAATTGACACATTAAACTAATTTTGAATTAACATATTTGAATAACCAAGAACTAAAATGTTCAAATTTTTCTAGTACAAAACAATTAAATTTGTTTTAGTTATAAAAGAGCTCTGTCAATATACACAAACTATATACTTCAGACATTCACAAAAATGTGAGCAGAAGGCTTATCAAAAGACATTGAATACAATTAGGTTTCAACAACCCTTGGTGGTCCACATCTACAAAGAAGCTCATTTCATTTTAACAACATGTCTCTGAGGTAGGTTCTGTTATCATCCTCATTTGAAAGATGAGAAACTAAGGCCCAGAGAGGTGAAGCAACTCACTTGAGGTCACACAGCTGATGAGTGGTGGAGCTGGGACTTGAACCCAGGCCATCTGGCTCTGAACCATCACTTGGTTCTATGATTGTTGGAGTTGTTATGAAGCAGCAGAGATGGGGATGTGAGGAGGGAAGAAAGGGGCAGGTGATGGAGGTGGCCTGGGAGGTAGTCAGGTACCCCTGCCCCGCCTTTGACCTCCCATCTGTCCCTGCAGGTAGCTGAGCTGAGAGGCCCTGTGCTCCGACTCCGGGAGCCGCTGGGGGTCCTGGCTATTGTGTGCCCGGACAAGTGGCCCCTGCTTGCCTTTGTGTCCCTGCTGGCCCCTGCCTTGGCCCATGGCAACAGCGTGGTTTTGGTGCCCAGCGAGACCTGTCCCATCCCCGCCTTGGAGGTCTGCCAGGTACAGTCGCCTGCCTGCTGCTGCTCCCAGCGGCCCCTGGGGCTCCAGACAGATGAAAGGCACCCCAAGGCCTACAGGAGTTCCGTTCCCACCCTCACCCCTTGGTAACCATGGTAACCCCTGTCCAGGAATCCAAGCCTTCACTCCTCTAGATCCAGGGACCATGTCCTTCAGACCACAAGCCTTCACCAGTCGTGCCCTGGCCCATTCCTTCGGGACCCCCATGCCATTCCCCCAGACGCTCACTCCCTGCCCCCACTGCCTCCGGGGTCTCAGATCCTTCCCTCCCAACCCCGGGTGGCCACTCTCTCCATCCCCTAGGATATGGCCTCCTTGCTGCCAGCCGGCCTGGTGAACGTGGTGACAGGAGATCGGGACCACCTGACCCGCTGCCTGGCTTTGCACCAGGACGTCCAGGCCCTGTGGTACTTCGGATCTGCCCAGGTACCCTTCGTTTTACATCTCCTGGGAACATGGCTCTGCCCCCTTAAAACTCCTGTTGCTAAGGGGAAGAAACACCTTGGCAACCAAAAGCTCTGCGGGCTTTCCCCTTCAGAGCCCTGGTTGCTAAGGAAGAGGATGTGCTTAGCAACAAGGGCCTGAGATCTTGCCCGGCCCAAAGACCTAATCTTATTGGACAGCCCCTTTCTAAAGACCATACCCTAGCAACAGAGTGAGAAGCCATAGCCCACCCTCTTTAAACCTTGTCAACAAAAACCTCAGGCCCCATTTGAACGTAGGCTGCTGACGGGGAGGAAGTTCCCTAGCCACAAAGGTCAGCCCCGTTTCCCCAGCATCCGCAAGGCTTGCTTGCCAGGGGCTGAGCTTATAGCAACAGGGCGTAGGTCAAGCCTCCACGCCCCCCCCCCCACCCCCCTCAGTAGTATCCGTGTTGCCAAGGAAGCAGCTGCTTATCAAACAAGCCGGAGGAAACGCTGATCCCCCTGTCTCCGTGCCAGGGCTCCCAGTTTGTGGAATGGGCCTCGGCAGGAAACCTGAAGCCCGTGTGGGTGGACAGGGGCTGCCCCCGGGCCTGGGATCAGGAGGCGGAAGGAGCAGGCCCTGAGCTAGAGCTTCGGGCAGCACGGACCAAGGCCCTGTGGCTGCCCATGGGCGACTGACACCTGAGCCCACTCCATCTTGGACGAAGAAGAGTTGGACCACCAACAGGCTCCAGATGCCTGGACCTTTCCACTTCCTTTGATGTCCGTGCCCTCAAATAAATTCTGACCAACCTTGGCTGTGCTTCTGAGGGCGAGAGCGGGCAGGAGCTCTGGGTCTGTTGGGGTTACTTTAGTTCTGTGACTCAGCAGCCTAGTGATCTGGCTCCGGTACAACATAGTGTTTGTGAAACAGATAAAGGGGCCTCTGAGAAGCCCGGGACAGGACCGCAGGGCCTCTTGTTCCTCCTGGTCTTGTCCATCAAGCAGAGTAGCTCTGGGGAATAAAGCCCAGGTGAGAGCTTGTGCCAATTTCCTTGGTGTAAATGCTCCCACCAACCTCCAGGTGATGGAACAGCCGGCTGACAGGATTCCTGAATTTTACCTGCTCCCATGAGCAGCTTGAGCCTACAGCTGTTGTGGAATTCTTTTTTTGATGCAAAGGACCCACTCACACTAGCTCAGGATGAGAGGGAATTTTCTGGAAGGCCACAGAGACATCTTAGGGAAGACAGGACGACACCCACCCGAGGCCCCAGGTCCTGGGAACCTGAATGCAGGTGCTTTTGTGAGCCACCTGATCTCTCAGGACTTGTATCTGCCTATCTGCTTCGTTCAAATGTTTTTTTTAAAATATATTTTATTGATTTTTCACAGAGAGGAAGGGAGAGGGATAGAGAGTTAGAAACATCGATGAGAGAGAAACATCAATCAGCTGCCTCCTGCACACTCCCTACTGGGGATGTGCCCACAACCAAGGTACATGCCCTTGACCGGAATCGAACCTGGGACCCTTGAGTCCGCAGGCCGAGGCTCTGTCCACTGAGCCAAACCGGCTAGGGCTCGTTCCAATCTTTGTAGCCATGTGACTTTAGGAAAGCTTTGTGGCCGCTCTGAGCCTGGTTCCTTATCTGCAAAAAGGGCTAATAGTTACAATCTGTCGGGTTGACTCAGTGATGAGTACACAGGATGTGTGTAATGGGTGCTAGCTGTTAGTTAGGGGTTGATCTTGGCCTTGGAGCAAATGAGAAAGGACACCTGTCAGTCTGTCACTAGGGCCGCGCCAAGGAGATGACCGTCCCAGGATCTGGATGTTTGGACAGGGGAGACCCAGGAATGCGAGCGCTGGAGGAAAGTCCCTGGAAGGCTCCAGTTCCCATCTGTGGCGTGACAACTCCCTCCCAGATTCCATGGGCTGCCTCAGTGCCCTTCCTGTTAACTCTGATGCTTTAATCAGCCAAAGCCAAGTGCAGCAGGTCAATATATACCACCAGACCACCAGCGATACTCAGCACCACATCCCCAGGAGGAAAAGAAAATCTGATTGGCCAGCCTGGGTCAGGTGTCCACTTCTGGGCCAATCATATCAGCCCAGGGGCTGAACCATAGAGGGTCTGTAAGCAGAGGACAGGTAGGCTCAGCTCTGGTTGAAAGACACAGATATAAGCTAAGGTGTCATGTACTATAATAACAGATGAAGCCCAGCCGGTGTGGCTCAGTGGTTGAGCGTTGACCTATGAACCAGGAGATCACAGTTTGATTCCTGGTCAGGGCACGTGCTCATGTTGCCAGTTCGATCCCCAGTGGAGGGGCGTGCAGGAGGCAGCTGATCAGTGATTTTCATCTCTCATCATTGGTGTGTGTGTCTCTCTCTCTTCCTTCCTCTCCGAAATTATTTTTTAAGAAATAATAAAAACAGCCCTTAACCGGTTTGGCTCAGTGGATAGAGCGTCGGCCTGCGGACTCAAGGGTCCCAGGTTCGATTCCAGTCAAGGGCATGTACCTTGGTTGCAGGCACATCCCCAGTAGGGAGTGTGCAGGAGGCAGCTGATCGATGCTTCTAACTCTCTATCCCTCTCCCTTCCTCTCTGTAAAAAATCAATAAAATATATTTTTAAAAAAATAATAAAAACATGAAGCTCAGGGCACTGGGGGCCCAGAGAAGGCACCCTACCCAGCCTAAGTGTGTGTGTGTGAGAGAGAGAGAAGGGGGGGAGGCGAAAGGTGTCGAGGAACTTCCCAAGGAAGTGCTATATTCATTGAGGTGTTTTTTCCAGCTTTATTGAGGTATGATGGACAGATAAAATAGCATATATTTCAGTTGTACAACATGATTTTTTAAGGTATGCAAAATGATTTATTATACATATATTACGAAGTGGTTGCCACAGTCAGGTTACTAACACACCTGCCTTTGTGTGTGAGCTGTTCAGGTGTGTTTCAACAATACAGAATATCATTAACTTTAGCCACCACGCTGTGCGTTGCATCCCAGAGCTCACTCGTCTTCGAAACGGAAATGTGTATCTTTTGACCAACATCTCCCCATTTTCCCCACCCCTGCAATCCCTGGCAATCACCTTTCTACTCTTCGGTTTTATGGGTTTCACTTCTTTAGATTCTGCATATGAGATCAAACAATATTCCCTTTCTCCGGTTCATTCACCTAGCAGAGTGCCCTCCAGTGTGTATCCTTTGACCAACATCTCCCCATTGCCCCCACCCCTGCAACCCCTGGCAATCACCTTTCCACTCTTCGGTTTTATGAGTTTCGCTTCTTTAGATTCTGCATATGAGATCAAACAATATTGTCTTTCTCCGGTTCATTCACCTAGTAGAGTACCCTCCAGGCTCATCCATGTCCTTGCAAATGGCAGTGTTTTCTTTTCATGGCTGAATAGTATTCCGTTTTTTTAAATATATTTTTTTTATTAATTTCAGAGAGGAAGGGAGAGAGAGAGAAACATCAATGATGAGAGAGAAGCATTGATTGGCTGCCTCCTGCACGCCCCCCACTGGGGATCGAGACCACAATCTGAGCATGTGCCCTAACCAGGAATTGAGCCTTGACCTCCTGGTTCATAGGTCAACACTCAACCACTGAACCACGCCAACCGGGCTAGTATTCCATTATTTATTTTTATACATATATTTCACATCTTTTTTTGTTCCATTAGCAATCATCACACCTCAGATAAACCTCTGGCTGCGATACTGCCACTGTGGAAAGCTTATATTTCCCGTCTTTATCCATTCAGTCCCTATGGACACTTAGGCTGTCTCCACGTCTCTTGTGAATAATGCTGCCAATGAACACGGGAGCACAGGTATCCCTAAGAAACTAATTTCCTTTCCTTAGGATATGTACCCCAGAGTGGAATCAATGGGTCATGTGGTAATTCTATTTTTAATTTCCTGAGGAACCGCCATATTGTTTTCCATAGTGGCTGCACCAGCTTACATCCCCACCATCATGCACGAGGTTCCCTTTCTCCCCATCCTCACCAACACGTACCTCTCATTCTTTTTTAAAAAAATATATTTTATTGATTTTTTACAGAGAGGAAGGGAGAGAGATAGAGAGTTAGAAACATCGATCAGCTGCCTCCTGCACACCTCCCACTGGGGATGTGCCCACAACCAAGGTACATGCCCTTGACCGGAATCGAACCTGGGACCTTTCAGTCCGCAGGCTGACACTCTATCCACTGAGCCAAACTGGTTAGGGCTCTCGTTCTTGATAGTGGCCGTTCTGACAGGTGCGAGGTGACTCGTGGTTGGACCTGCGTTTCCCTGATGCCTAGTGATTGCCTTGAGCCTGGAAGTACGATGAAGATCTGATTAGGCCAGAAAAGTGGCCGAGGAGCATTTGAGATCTTGCTTCTTAGCAATTGTCATCCGTTTAGGCTCAAATAAGTTCTTATAAAATTTCAAAAAACTCCTTGGCCAGTTCAGTTGGTTGAGCGTTGTCCCATGCACCAAAGGGTTGCCAGTTCGATTCCCAGTCAAGGCATATACCCAGGTTTTGGGTTCGACCCCTGGTCGGGGTGTATGGGAGGCAACCAATCTCTGTTTCTCACATCACTGTTTCTCTCCCTCTCCCTTCCTCTCTCTCTCGAATCAATAAAAAACATTTTTTTTAAATAAAGGAAACCACAATTTTGAAAAAAACCTTGCCCTGGCTGGGCAGCTCAGTTGGTTAGAGCATTGTCCCATATGCTAAGATTCTGGCTTCGATTCCCGATCAGTGCACATATAAGAATCAACCAAAGAATGTATAAATTTCTCCTCTCTCTCAAATCAATAAATTAAGCCCGGCTGGCATGGCTCAGTGGTTGAGCGTCCACTTATGAACCGGGAGGTCAAGGTTCCATTCCCAGTCAGGGCACATGCCCAGGTTGCGGGCTGGATCCCCAGTGTGGGGCAAGCGGGAAGCAGCCAATCAATGATTCTCGTTTATCATTGATGTTTCCATCTCTCCCTTTCTGAACTCAATAAAAATATTTTTAAATAAATTTTAAAGAAATTTCTTTTAAATATATATCTTTTTATTGATTTCAGAGAGGGAGAGAGATAGAAACATCAATGATGAGAGAGAATCATTGATCAGCTGCCTCCTGCACGCCCCCTACTGGGGATCGAGCCCGCAATCCGGGCATGTGCCCTTGACCAGAATCGAACCTGGGACCCTTCAGTCCACAGACCGATGCTCTATCCAGTGAGCGGCTAGGGCAAAACATTTTTTTTTTTTAATTCAAAAAGGAATGTGGCAGAGAGCATCCCAGGCCAAGGGGACAGCAGGTGCAAAGGCCCACAGGTGGGCAATAGCTTTGGGGGAACTGTCGTGGGTTGAATAGTGATCCCCAAAAAGGTATGTCCACATCCTCACCCCTGGAACCTATGCATGCGATCTTATTTGGAAAAACAGTCTTTGCAGATAGAATGCAGTTGAGCATCTTGAGATAAGATCATTCTGGGCTATCCAGGTGGGCCCTAAATCTAATGACAGGTGTCCATACAGGAGACAGAAGAGGACAAAGCCACGTCAAGACGGGGGCAGAGGTGGAACTCGGTGTCTAGCACCCTCCTCTCCCCCACATCCGCATCCCACCCCAGGTGGGAGGTGGGAGGTTGGCAAGTTAGGCTGATACTCGGTCTCAGAGCCCCAACCTTCTCATCATGTGATTGGTCTTTGGGGGACTGATCAGCCTCCCATCTCAAGTCATCTTATTGGCGTGAAGTCTTGGGTGGGGGGTGGGGCTCATGAATAACAGAGACTCCTATCACTTATCAGGGAAATTCCTGAGGGTTTATATGTTGGCTCCCGGGGAACAGACCAGATGCCTTCTCTTTTTATTTTATTTTTTAAATATGTTTTATTGATTTTTTACAGAGAGGAAGGGAGAGAGATAGAGAGTTAGAAACATCGATGAGAGAAAAACATCAATCAGCTGCCTCCTGCACACCCCCTCCTGGGGATGTGCCCGCAACCAAGGTACATGCCCTTGACCAGAATTGAACTCGGGACCCTTCAGTCTGCAGGTTGACACTCTATCCACTGAGCCAAACTGATTAGGGCTTATTTATTTATTTATTTTAGAGAGAGAGGGAGGGAACGAGAGAAACATCAATTTGTTGTTCCACTTACCGATGCATTCGTTGATTGATTCTGGTATATGCCCTGACCGGGGATCGAACCTGCAACCTTGTTATATTGGGACGATGCTCTCCAGCTACCAGGCCAGGGCCAGGATCTGAAACTGGACAATGAATGGGTCTGGGCTGCCTGTCACGACTTGAGCCAGTTAAGCAGAGACGGGGTTGAATCATGTGGAGATTAGCAGGTCATTCATGAAAATCTGCTCTACACACCCCCACCGCCCCGTAAGCCCGCTGCTTATATTGGGTAGAAGGACAAAGATTGCACGGGGAAGTAGGAATTACAGGTCTGGGGAGGTAGGCAAGGTATAATGGCTACAGGTTACAGGTGACGTGGGCCGGGGGTTGGAAAGGGTGGGTACCTCCAGGTGGTTACCGGCCAGGACTCCATTGTTTCGGCAACAGGGTTGTTAATCTTTCCATGATGATCGGCAGTTCTTGGATAAGGAAATGGACCGCATTCTGAGGTTAACTACCAGGTGTATGTGGGGGAGTGTGTGTGTGTGTGTGTGGGGGTGGGGGGTGTTACAACTCCCAGCCAGGTCAGAATATGCTTTCTTTAATCAGAACAGAACAATCACAGTTAGCATAGCATGATTTTTCTTATAACTGTAGCTAGTCCCCACTATTCTATTTCTGCCCCTAACAGAGCCCTTGGTTCTTGTGCATTTATTTAACAAATACTGATTGAGCACCTGCTCTGATTCAAACAGACCTACCCACCGTGGTCGTGGGGCTGACGTCCCAATGGGGGCAAAGAAGATGAGTGCAGGGTGTGTCCGGTGACATGTGACAAGGGAAAGGGCAAAGCAGGCTTACAACGTGGGGAATGCGGTGGGGAAGGCTTTGCCTGCGTGTGTGAGCAAAGGCCCGAGTGAGGTGGGGCATGAGCCATGAGGGTATCTGGGGGGAGGGTATTCAGGCTGAGGGATCTGCCAGTGCAAAGGCCCTGGGGCAGGAGTGTGCCTGTCCCGGGCATAGGGAGGAGGCCAAGGCAGAGAGGGAATCGGGCTAGATCTTGCAGGTCTGTGTGGCCACAGTGGATCTGTCTGAGGCCAGGGCCGGAAGCAGCTCTGGTACGTAGGGGGAACAGACGGCGGGGAGCGGGGGAGAGGCTGGGGCAGGTGCAGTGAGGATCAAGGCCAGGAGAGAAGGCCGCACTGGTGTTCAGGGGGGAGATGGTAGCAGACCCCGGGTGATGGCAGCTGGGGTGCTGAGAAGTGATTGCAGGGACTCCGCAGACATTTTTTTTTTAACCAATACTTTTTTCCCCCCTTTATTGAATAAGATATTACAAATGTGTCCTTATCCCCCCAATGTCCCCTCATCCCCGCAATCCGCAGACATTTTGACAGCCGACACATTTGCTGGGACGGGACTGTGGGCAGTGAAAGGCCAAGGTCACATGACTGGGGGCGGGGGCGTCCAAGGAGAAAATGAAGAGCTCGGGGTGACCTCCTCGGCCTGTGTCATTGGTTCTGCTTGGACCGGGTTCCAGCCCCAGCTCCTCAATCCGTCTTCCCTACCTGTGAGAACTGACCCACCGCAGCCTTCCCCGGCCAGGCGCCCTCCGGGGCTGCCGCCAGGTGGCGCCCCTGGCCTCAGACAGATCCACCCCAACGCGCTGTCCCCCTCCAAAATTTTCTTTCACTTTCGATCTCCGGCTGTCACCCGGTCCGGCCCCTTCCACATGCAGCTGGGAATGACTGGTGCCGGAGGATAAATGGGCTCTGGGTCCCCGAGGGGCGGGGCGGGCGCCCCTGCTGGGGCTGAGGGAGGAGGAGTGGGGGTCGGGTTCCTGGGCCCCTGCCCGGGGAGGGTTCCGGGGATCGGCTGTCGGGGTTCTTAGAAGGGGAGACGCGGAGTTTTCACCGTAACTGGGGCGCATGCAGGAAGCCCGTGGGAGAAGGAGGCGGAAACTTGGCCACATCAAGGGGCAGGGGAGGGGCAGGGAGGTGAGGGGCGGGTGAGGAAAGGGCTGGGGTGTGTCAGCCCCAAACCTGCTCTTCTGTCCTTTCCAAGATCTGGCCACAGGCATGAGGGGCCTCCGGCGGAGATGATAGTGTTGGCACCAGCCTGGAGCCCAACTGTGCGTATACCTGGGCAAGGTGGGGGACAGGCAGTGTCATGATGGGCAGATAGGTGAGGAGATGCAGAGAGGTGGAGGGAGATGGACAGGGGTGGAGGGAGTTGGGCAGGGGTGGAGGCTGCCTCCTGCACACCTCCCACTGGGGGGCAGGGGTGGAGGCTGCCTCCTGCACACCTCCCACTGGGGGGCAGGGGTGGAGGCTGCCTCCTGCACACCTCCCACTGGGGGGCAGGGGTGGAGGCTGCCTCCTGCACACCTCCCACTGGGGGGCAGGGGTGGAGGCTGCCTCCTGCACACCTCCCACTGGGGGGCAGGGGTGGAGGCTGCCTCCTGCACACCTCCCACTGGGGGGCAGGGGTGGAGGCTGCCTCCTGCACACCTCCCACTGGGGGGCAGGGGTGGAGGCTGCCTCCTGCACACCTCCCACTGGGGGGCAGGGGTGGAGGCTGCCTCCTGCACACCTCCCACTGGGGGGCAGGGGTGGAGGCTGCCTCCTGCACACCTCCCACTGGGGGGCAGGGGTGGAGGCTGCCTCCTGCACACCTCCCACTGGGGGGCAGGGGTGGAGGCTGCCTCCTGCACACCTCCCACTGGGGGGCAGGGGTGGAGGCTGCCTCCTGCACACCTCCCACTGGGGGGCAGGGGTGGAGGCTGCCTCCTGCACACCTCCCACTGGGGGGCAGGGGTGGAGGCTGCCTCCTGCACACCTCCCACTGGGGGGCAGGGGTGGAGGCTGCCTCCTGCACACCTCCCACTGGGGGGCAGGGGTGGAGGCTGCCTCCTGCACACCTCCCACTGGGGGGCAGGGGTGGAGGCTGCCTCCTGCACACCTCCCACTGGGGGGCAGGGGTGGAGGCTGCCTCCTGCACACCTCCCACTGGGGGGCAGGGGTGGAGGCTGCCTCCTGCACACCTCCCACTGGGGGGCAGGGGTGGAGGCTGCCTCCTGCACACCTCCCACTGGGGGGCAGGGGTGGAGGCTGCCTCCTGCACACCTCCCACTGGGGGGCAGGGGTGGAGGCTGCCTCCTGCACACCTCCCACTGGGGGGCAGGGGTGGAGGCTGCCTCCTGCACACCTCCCACTGGGGGGCAGGGGTGGAGGCTGCCTCCTGCACACCTCCCACTGGGGGGCAGGGGTGGAGGCTGCCTCCTGCACACCTCCCACTGGGGGGCAGGGGTGGAGGCTGCCTCCTGCACACCTCCCACTGGGGGGCAGGGGTGGAGGCTGCCTCCTGCACACCTCCCACTGGGGGGCAGGGGTGGAGGCTGCCTCCTGCACACCTCCCACTGGGGGGCAGGGGTGGAGGCTGCCTCCTGCACACCTCCCACTGGGGGGCAGGGGTGGAGGCTGCCTCCTGCACACCTCCCACTGGGGGGCAGGGGTGGAGGCTGCCTCCTGCACACCTCCCACTGGGGGGCAGGGGTGGAGGCTGCCTCCTGCACACCTCCCACTGGGGGGCAGGGGTGGAGGCTGCCTCCTGCACACCTCCCACTGGGGGGCAGGGGTGGAGGCTGCCTCCTGCACACCTCCCACTGGGGGGCAGGGGTGGAGGCTGCCTCCTGCACACCTCCCACTGGGGGGCAGGGGTGGAGGCTGCCTCCTGCACACCTCCCACTGGGGGGCAGGGGTGGAGGCTGCCTCCTGCACACCTCCCACTGGGGGGCAGGGGTGGAGGCTGCCTCCTGCACACCTCCCACTGGGGAGACAGAAGTGGGGAAATGAGCCGTTGGGGAGAGGGGCGGGCGTGGGGGAAGACACGGAGGGAGGTGGGTAAAAATGGGCAGAAGGGACCCAGAAGAAAGGAGAAGTGGGAGAGATGAGCAGATAAGGGCAGGGGGGTGGGCAGAGAAGAGATCTGGGCAGAGCGAGAGAGACCTGTGCTGGGCCAAGTTGGGGGCAAAGGAGACCAAACGCTGGAGGGTATCGGCCAGAAGCAGAGGGTCAGAGGTGGGCAGACCTGAGGCAGATGGAGGAGGGGCCGGAACCGAATGGCCTGAGCTGGGAGAGGAGGAAGGGGAAGAGGCCGGGGAGGGGGGGAGGGGTTCGGAGCCAACAGGGCCCCCTCCCCGCAGACCTCCCTGCTGCTGCTGCTGCTGCTGCTGAGCCCCGGCCTCTGTGGGACCCCAGACTGCTCCTTCCGCCACAGCCCCATCTCCTCCACCTTCGCGGACACCATCCGCAAGCTGGTGAGCGCCCTCGCCAGCCCCCGCTGCTGCCGCTGAGCGGAGTCCCCCTGCCCGGCCGCGGTCTTTGGGGCGCCCTGTCCCCCTCTCCCAGGTCCCTCTCCATAGTTCAGCCCAGCTGAACCCATTTTCTCCCGCAGTCAGACTACCTGCTCCAGGATTACCCGGTCACGGTCGCCGCCAACCTGCAGGACGTGAGTCACAGAGGGGAGGGGCCGGGATGGAGGTGGGAAAGCGACTCTGGATGCACATCGGGGGGACGGGGGGACGGGGCTGGTCTGCCATCG